AACCTTCCGATAGATAAGAGCTGATAGGATCGCTGGTTTCTAGGAGTCTATCACGGACGCCATGAGTAGTGCACAAACCCCCTAAACTACAAACACCAACCCCAAATACCAACCCTCCTAAACCGCAGAACCCAATCCCCTAACACCAACCCCCCAAACCCCATACACCAACCCCCGAATACAAGCCCTAAACCCCAGGCACCAAACCCGAACACCAACCCCTAAACCCAGACACCAACCCTAACACCAAACCCCTAAAATCCCAGACACCAACCCCTAACACAAACCCACTAAACCCCAGACACCAACCCTAACACCAACCCTTAAACCCCCAGACACCAAACCCTAATACCAACCCCCGAAACCCCTTAGATACCAACCTCAAGCACACAAAAACCCACTAAACCCCCAGACACCAAACCCTAACACAAACCCCCTAAACTACAGACACCAACCCCAAATACCAACCCTCCTAAACCGCAGACACCAATCCCCTAACACCAACCCCCAAAACCCCAGACACCAAGCCCTAACACAAGCCCCTAAACCCCAGACACCAACCCTAACACCAACCCCCTAAACCCCAGACACCAACCCCTAACACCAACCCCTAAACCCCAGACACCAACCCCTAACACAAACTCTAAAGCCCCTAGACACCAACCCCAACACCAACCCCTTAAACCCCAGACACCAAACCGCTAACACCAACCCCCTAAACCATAGACACCAAACCCTAACACCAACCCGCAAAAGCCTCAGACACCAACCGCTAACACCAAACCCTAAACCCCAGACACCAACCCCGAACACCAAACCCTAAACCATAGACACCAAACCCTAACACCAACCCGCAAAAGCCCAGACACCAACCCTAACGCCAACCCCCCTAAACGCAGACACCAACCCTAACACAAATCCCCTAAAGCCCAGACACCAACTCCTAACACCAACCCCCTAAACCCCAGACACCAACCCCTAACACAAACCCCCTTAAACCCCAGACACCAACCCCAAACACCAACCCCCTAAACCCCAGACACCAACCCCTAACACAAACCCCACTAAACCCCAGACACCAACCCCTAACACCAACCCCCTAAACCCCAGACACCAATCCCTAACACCAAACCCCCTTAAACCCCAGACACCAACCCCTAACACCAACCCCCTAAACCATAGACCCAAACCCTAACACCAACCCGCAAAGCCTCAGACACCAACCGCTAACACCAACCCCTCAACCCCAGAACCAACCCTAAACACAAACCCCACTAAACCGCAGACACCAACCCTAACACCAACCCCCAAAATCCCCAGACACCAACCCCTAACACCAACCCCCAAAACACCAGGCACCAAACCCCAACACAACCCCTAAACCCCAGACACCAACCCCTAACACAAACCCCACTAAACCCAGACACCAACCCTAACACCAACCCCTAAACCCCAGACACCAACCCCTAACACCAACCCCTAACACCAACCCTAAACACCAAACACCAACCCCCTAAACCCAGACACCAACCCTAAACCCCAGACACAACCCCCTAAACCCCAGACACCAACCCTAACCCCAGACACCAACCCCTAAACCCAGACACCAACCCCTAAACCCCAGACACCAACCCTAAACCCCAGACCACCAACCCCTAAACCCCAGACACAAACCCCTAAACCCAGACACAACCCCCTAAACCCCAGACACCAACCCCTAAACCCCAGACACCAACCCCTAAACCCCAGACACCAACCCCTAAACCCCAGACACCAACCCCTAAACCCCAGACACCAACCCTAAACCCCAGACACAACCCCTAAACCCCAGACACCAACCCCTAAACCCCAAAACACCAACCCCTAAACCCCAGACACCAACCCCTAAACCCCAAACACCAACCCCTAAACCCCAACACCAACCCTAAACCCCAGACACCAACCCCCTAAACCCCAGAACACCAACCCCCTAAACCCAAACACCAACCCCTAACCCAAACACCAACCCCCTAAACCCCAAACACCAACCCCCTAAACCCCAGACACCAACCCCTAAACCCCAGTCACAACCCCATAAACCCCAGACACCAACCCCTAAACCCCAGACACAAACCCCTAAACCCCAAACACCAACCCCCTAAACCCCAGACACCAACCCCTAAACCCCAGACACCAACCCCTAAACCCCAAACACCAACCCCCTAAACCCCAAACACCAACCCCCTAAACCCCAGACACCAACCCCCTAAACCCCAGACACCAACCCCTAAACCCAAACACCAACCCCCTAAACCCCAAACACCAACCCCCTAAACCCCAGACACAAACCCCTAAACCCCAACACCAACCCCCTAAACCCCAGACACCAACCCCTAAACCCCAGACACCAACCCCTAAACCCCAGACACCAACCCCTAAACCCCAGACACCAACCCTAAACCCAGACACCAACCCCTAAACCCCAGACACCAACCCCTAAACCCCAGACACCAACCCCTAAACCCCAGACACAAACCCTAAACCCAGACACCAACCCCTAAACCCCAGACACCAACCCCTAAACCCCAGACACCAACCCCTAAACCCCAGACACCAACCCCTAAACCCCAGACACCAACCCCTAAACCCCAGACACCAACCCCCTAAACCCAGACACAAACCCCTAAACCCCAGACACCAACCCCTAAACCCCAAACACCAACCCCCTAAACCCCAGACACCAACCCCTAAACCCCAAACACCAACCCCTAAACCCCAAACACCAACCCCCTAAACCCCAGACACCAACCCCTAAACCCCAGACACCAACCCCCTAAACCCCAAACACCAACCCCCTAAACCCCAACACCAACCCCTAAACCCCAAACACCAACCCCCTAAACCCCAGACACCAACCCCTAAACCCAGTCACCAACCCCATAAACCCCAGACACCAACCCCTAAACCCCAGACACAAACCCCTAAACCCCAAACACCAACCCCCTAAACCCCAGACACCAACCCCTAAACCCCAGACACCAACCCCCTAAACCCCAAACACCAACCCCCTAAACCCCAGACACCAACCCCTAAACCCCAGACACCAACCCCCTAAACCCCAGACACCAACCCCCTAAACCCCAAACACCAACCCCTAAACCCCAAACCACAACCCCTAAACCCCAGACACAAACCCCTAAACCCCAAACACCAACCCCTAAACCCCAGACACCAACCCCTAAACCCCAGACACCAACCCCTAAACCCCAAACACCAACCCCCTAAACCCCAAACACCAACCCCCTAAACCCCAGTCACCAACCCCCTAAACCCCAGTCACCAACCCCCTAAACCCCAGTCACCAACCCCCTAAACCCCAGTCACCAACCCCCTAAACCCCAACACCAACCCCCTAAACCCCAAACACCAACCCCCTAAACCCCAAACACAACCCCTAAACCCCAGACACCAACCCCCTAAACCCAGACACCAACCCCTAAACCCCAAACACCAACCCCTAAACCCCAGACACCAACCCCTAAACCCCAAACACCAACCCCCTAAACCCCAGACACCAACCCCTAAACCCCAGACACCAACCCCTAAACCCCAAACACCAACCCCCTAAACCCCAAACACCAACCCCCTAAACCCCAGACACCAACCCCCTAAACCCCAGACACCAACCCCCTAAACCCCAGTCACCAACCCCTAAACCCCAGTCACCAACCCCCTAAACCCCAGTCACCAACCCCTAAACCCCAGACACCAACCCCTAAACCCCAAACACCAACCCCTAAACCCCAAACACCAACCCCTAAACCCAACACCAACCCCTAAACCCCAGACACCAACCCCCTAAACCCAGACACCAACCCCCTAAACCCCAAACACCAACCCCCTAAACCCCAAACACCAACCCCCTAAACCCCAGACACCAACCCCCTAAACCCCAGACACCAACCCCTAAACCCCAGACACCAACCCCTAAACCCCAAACACCAACCCCTAAACCCCAAACACCAACCCCCTAAACCCCAAACACCAACCCCCTAAACCCCAGACACCAACCCCCTAAACCCCAGACACCAACCCCCTAAACCCCAGACACCAACCCCTAAACCCCAAACACCAACCCCTAAACCCCAGACACCAACCCCTAAACCCCAGACACCAACCCCCTAAACCCCAGACACCAACCCCCTAAACCCCAGACACCAACCCCTAAACCCCAGACACAAACCCCTAAACCCCAGACACAAACCCCTAAACCCAGACACCAACCCCCTAAACCCCAGACACCAACCCCTAAACCCCAAACACCAACCCCCTAAACCCCAAACACCAACCCCTAAACCCCAGTCACCAACCCCTAAACCCAGTCACCAACCCCTAAACCCCAGTCACCAACCCCTAAACCCAGTCACCAACCCCCTAAACCCCAGACACCAACCCCCTAAACCCAAACACCAACCCCCTAAACCCCAGACACCAACCCCTAAACCCCAGACACCAGGCACTGTCCCCGCCCCCCGGGCACTGACCTGCGGTGACGGATCGGTTCGTGTCGCCGACTTTAGTTTCAATTTATGATCTGATTTTAGGCTCAAAAACCTCCAGTGCCGCGCGAGCCTCAGTGTCACTGTCAGTGGGACAGTGGTGGAGCTGAGCCTCAGTGGGACAGTGGCGGAGCTGAACCTCAGTGGGACAGTGGTGGAGCTGAGCTGTCAGTGGGACAGTGGTGGAGCTGAGCCTCAGTGGGACAGTGGTGGAGCTGAGCCTCAGTGGGACAGTGGTGGAGCTGAGCTGTCAGTGGGACAGTGGTGGAGCTGAGCCTCAGTGGGTCAGTGGTGGAGCTGAGCCTCAGTGGGACAGTGGTGGAGCTGAGCCTCAGTGGGACAGTGGTGGAGCTGAGCTGTCAGTGGGACAGTGGTGGAGCTGAGCCTCAGTGGGACAGTGGTGGAGCTGAGCTGTCAGTGGGACAGTGGTGGAGCTGAGCTGTCAGTGGGACAGTGGTGGAGCTGAGCTGTCAGTGGGACAGTGGTGGAGCTGAGCCTCAGTGGGACAGTGGTGGAGCTGAGCCTCAGTGGGACAGTGGTGGAGCTGAGCCTCAGTGGGACAGTGGTGGAGCTGAGCCTCAGTGGGACAGTGGTGGAGCTGAGCTGTCAGTGGGTCAGTGGCGGAGCTGAGCTCTCAATGGGACAGTGGTGGAGCTGAGCCTCAGTGGGACAGTGGCGGAGCTGAGCCTCAGTGGGACAGTGGTGGAGCTGTGCTGTCAGTGGGACAGTGGTGGAGCAGAGCTGTCAGTGGGACAGTGGTGGAGCTGAGCTGTCAGTGGGACAGTGGTGGAGCTGAGCTGTCAGGGACAGTGGTGGAGCTGAGCCTCAGTGGGACAGTGGTGGAGCTGCTCAGTGGGACAGTGGTGGAGCTGAGCTGTCAGTGGGACAGTGGTGGAACTGAGCTGTCAGTGGGACAGTGGTGGAGCTGAGCCTCAGTGGGACAGTGGTGGAGCTGAGCTGTCAGTGGGACAGTGGTGGAACTGAGCTGTCAGTGGACAGTGGTGAGCTGAGCTCTCAGTGGGACAGTGGTGGAGCTGAGCCTCAGTGGGACAGTGGTGGAGCTGAGCCTCAGTGGGACAGTGGTGGAGCTGTGCTGTCAGTGGGACAGTGGTGGAGCTGAGCTGTCAGTGGGACAGTGGTGGAGCAGAGCTGTCAGTGGGACAGTGGTGGAGCTGAGCTGTCAGTGGGACAGTGGTGGAGCTGAGCCTCAGTGGGACAGTGGTGGAGCTGAGCTGTCAGTGGGACAGTGGTGGAGCTGAGCTGTCAGTGGGACAGTGGTGGAGCTGAGCTGTCAGTGGGACAGTGGTGGAGCTGAGCCTCAGTGGGACAGTGGTGGAGCTGAGCCTCAGTGGGACAGTGGTGGAGCTGAGCCTCAGTGGGACAGTGGTGGAGCTGAGCTGTCAGTGGGACAGTGGTGGAGCTGAGCCTCAGTGGGACATTGGTGGAGCTGTGGGCTGAGTCAGTGGGACAGTGGTGGAGCTGAGCTCAGTGGGACAGTGGTGGAGCTGAGCTCAGTGGGACAGTGGCGGAGCTGAGCCTCAGTGGGACAGTGGTGGAGCTGAGCCTCAGTGGGACAGTGGTGGAGCTGAGCTGAGTCCTGTCCCACATAGTTCACCTCTGATGAAACTTGATACCCAAAGCTGCTGACTCTTGACCTCTCTCATGCCCTCATCACTAGTGTCTCCTTCTCCACCATTCACAAAGTTAATTTCATAATCATAATAATCTGCATTTGATATCACACCCAATACGTCACTGTGGCGTCTGAGTCTGTGAATTTTGTGGGCGAAACGCAGCAGCCAGTCTCCCTCCCTCCCTCCCTCCTTTCGTCCTTCCTTCCTCACATTCGGTCTCTGATCACAGGACCCCTTTGCTTCTCGTCCGCAACATTGCCGACTCTACCCCCATCTCTGCCTCTGTCTCACCAAAACATGTATTTAGGAAAGGCAATATATCAGTTTTGTGATTCCTTTAAATCTTTTCATATTGGGTTTGGAGGAAATACAGATCGGTTGATCAGACAGAGAGAATATTAGGAATAATCCACATTCACCACTTATCACCTTCACCATTTGTCGATGGCTTTGCCAGGTTTGAGGGACATGTTTTCCAAGTGCTCCGGGTACTACGCTGTGTGAGGATAGTACCCAGTTGTTGAGATACTGTTGAGACGTCTCAAAGCGCTTCACAGAAAATATTGTGAAGTGAATTGACTGCATATTTTGTGGGCAAAATGCAGCAGCCAATTGGACACAGCCAAGTCTCACAAACAGTGGTAGATTGAGTAACCAATTTTTTTGGAGGGATTATTAGCCGCCGAAAAATGATCTGCCAATCGACTGACAACCGGGGTTCCTATTCACAATTAGGTAAACAGAGTGGAATAAGGAAACTTGTCCAACATTTTGCTCTGCCCGGGAATCAAACCCAGGTTCTCTCGCTTATGTGGCGAGCGCACTACTAATATAGATTTAGAAACAAAGTCATGATTGTCATAGGATTTTATTTCTTACAGAAGACTAGCCCCTTTTGAGCTACACTACTTTTTAATACTGTTTAATACATTTGAATGGGAAATACAGAAGTTGAGTAATATAATTTTTTAAAAAAAAGAATATACTTCTCTCATTAATTTTGAGTAAACCTCCCAGGTTGGAAACATCCTTTACTTTGTGAGCAGGTCTTGAGATATTGTACCACCGATGATTACATTACAAATGGGTTATAACGCGGATGTCCTGAATCGTCAACAGAGAGAAAGAAAGTGTCTCTTTATAAGATTAAAAAACTACTTGCAATTATAATAATAAATCTTGCATTTGATATAGAGCCTTATCATGTCTTTGAGACGTCTCAAAGCGCTTCACAGAATATACTGTAAAGTGGAATTGACTGTATATTTTGGGCGAAGTGCGGCAGCCGACACAAACAGTCGTGGGTTGAGTGAGCAAATTGTTATTTTTTATTATTAACAGTATTTATTTTTTGAAGGGATTATAATCCTCGGAAAAAGCAATTTGCCAATCGAATAACAACTGCGTTACTACTTACTGCTAAATAAACAAGCATGTGGAAATTTGCCTAAAATTTCTCCCTGCCTGGGAATCGAACCCAGGTCCTCTCGATTGCGAGGCGAATGCTCTAACCAATATGCTGCTGGACTCCAAATATTTGACGAATAAAGTTGTAAATACTCACATTTATAAATATTTTTCCTTGTTTATTTTTTCTCATTTCCTTCTGGTATTTCTGCTTTAGGGAGAGGCTGATGACCAGTGTGCACACCACCATTAGTATGAACACAGTAAAGGCTGAGGACACTGCCATTATAATGGCGTCCTCTTTCTTCCCGTACATATTACAGTATTTGCCCGAAAACCACCAACCATTGCCCGCTGGGCACCTATAAAGGAAGATGTGATAACACATTAGGCCTTGCGCCACATTCCCAATGTCAGGTCAGTGCCTTGGGTGTGAAAGCCGCTATATAACTAAATTACAGTCTAAGCTGATGCTCCAATCCAGCGCTGGTGAAGGGTGGGGGGGGGGGGTTACTGGGACGTTAAACCAAGGTCCCATCTGTCTGTTCAGGTGGATGGTAGAGATCCCGCGGGGCTATTGGAAAAGAGAAGGGAGTTTCTCTCTCTCTCCCGGTGTCCTGGAATTGTTATTATTGATAATAAATACAAATTATGTCGTTGATATAGTAATAGCTTCATAGCACTCGCTGTCTAAAATGATGGTTGAATCAGAGAGTGTAGTTCCATTCAAGAGGAAGCTAGACCTTCACATGAGGGAGAGGGGAATTTCCTGCAGCTGAACATTGGCAAGATGTAATCTTTGGCTCCCGTCAACGTGTTCTCTCCTGCAAGTTTGAACTTCTCAACCTCCCCTGGACTCTCCCTCAGACTCCCCAAACCCGTGCGCCACGTCGGCGTCAGCTTCGATTCCCAGCTTTCCTTTCCTCCCACATTTGTTCCCGGAACAGGACCACTTTTTTCCCCCTACATTGCCCGTCTCCATCCATACCTCACACCCACAGCAGCCGAGACCCTCGTCCACACCTTCGTCACTTCTCGGCCGGACTATTCCCCGCTGTCTCCGCAGCAACACCACACACACAATACAACTAATTCAGATCTCCGCTCCCAGATTCTCACCCACACGAGGCTCCGTACCCCCATCACCCCAGTCCTTGCCAAGCTCTACTGGCTCCCAATTACTGAACAGATCAACTTTAAGATCTTGAGAAGAGGTTAGCGGGTAACATAACGGGGAATCCTAAAATATTTTATAAGCACATAAAGGAAAAAAGGTTAGTTAAAGGTAGGGTGGGGCCAATCAAAGGCAATGACGGCCATCTTGTTGTGGAGGCAGAGGGATGACTGATGTACTGAACGAGTACTTTGCATCTGTCTTCACAACGGAAATGGATGCCCCAAATGCCGCAGCATTGGTGAGAGGGCAGAGGACATAGATCAGATTACTATCGACAGAGAGGAAGTTCTGAAAAGATTGACTGGGCTCAAAATTGATAAGTCACCAGGACCAGAGGGGTTTCACCCAAGGTTGCTGTGGGAGATATGGGTTCAAATAGCGGAGGCTTTGGCCATTATATTTCAATCGTCATTGGACACAGGAGTAGTGCCAAGAGACTGGAGAGTGGCTAATGTTACCCCACTCTACAAAAAGGGGCAGAAAGACAAGCCCGGAAATTACAGGCCAGTCAGCCTAACTTCGGTCATAGGAAAACTACTGGAGACCATAATCCGGGACAGAATAAATCTCTACTTAGAGGAACACGAGGTAATTAGAGACCCCAACATGGATTTGTTAAAGGCAAATCTTGCCGAACAAATCTAATGGAATTTTTTGAAGAGGTGACTGCGAGGGTTGATGAGGGAAATGCGGTGGACATTATTTACATGGATTTTAAAAAGGCTTTTGACACAGTACCGCATAAGAGAAATACAGAAATTAGAGGCCCACAGTATTAAGGGGACTGTAGCCGTTTGGATTAGGAACTGACTGAGTGACAGAAAGCAGAGGGTGGTGTTAATGGGTGTTTCTCGCAATGGACGGAGGTGTGCAGCGGTGTCCCCCAGGTTTCGGTATTGGGACCACTGCTCTTTCTAATATATATTAATGATCTGGACTTGGCCATAGGGAGCACTATTTCCAAGTTTGCAGATGATACAAAGTTAGGTTCACCTTAGAAGACACTGAAAACCTACCAATAATAGAGATGAACCAAGAAGAAAATGTTAGTGAGCAACTTGGAGGAATTAATATAAGTAAAGAAATGGTTTTCGGTAAATTATCAGATCTTAAAACTGATAAATCCCCTGGACCTGATGGCCTACATCCCAGGGTTTTAAAAGAGGTGGTTACTGCGACAGTGGATGGTTTGTCTTTGATCTTCCAAAATTCTCTGGATTCTGGACCGGTTCCCATTGATTGGAAGATTGCAATCGTAACACCACTATTTAAGAAGGGTGGGAGAGAGAAGATGGGGAACTATAGACCAGTTAGTCTGACATCAGTGGGAGGGAAAATTCTTGAGTCCTCAATTAAGGATGTCGTTATGGGATTCCTGGAAGACCATAACAAGATTAGGCAGTCAACATGGCTTTATAAAAGGGAAGTCACGCTTAACTAATCTTTTAGAGTTTTTGAAGATGTATCTGCAGGTTAGAGAGGGGGGAACCAGTAGTGTAGTATATTTAGATTTTAAAAAGGCATTTGACAAAGTGCCACACAAAAGGCTATTGCACAAGGTTAAGGCCCACGGGATTAATGGGAACATATTAACATGGATTGAAGAGTGGCCAACGGGTAGAAAACAGAGAGTAGGGATAAACGGGTCATTCTCGAAGTGGCAGGAGGTGACTAGGGGAGTGCCACAAGGATCAGTGTTTGGGCCTCAGCTATTTACAATTTACATCAATGATCCAGACGAGGACATTGACTGTAACGTATCTAAATTCACAGATGACACTAAACTCGGTGGGAGAGTGAGCTCTGAGGATGATGCAAAAAGATTGCAGCGGGATATAGATAGGCTCGGGGAGTGGGCGAGTAGGTGGCAGATGGAATTTAATGTGGTGAAGTGTGAAGTTATTCACCTCGGTAGGTAGAAAAAATAGAAGAACAGATCATTTTCTAGTGGGGGAGAGATTAGATCTTCTGGAATTCCATCCCCCAGTGCCTGCGCCGCTTCCTCCCTTTCCTCCTTCAAGGCTGGTCTCAAGACCTTTCTCTTCGACCTTCAGCCTTCAGCTCCCCTCTCGACTCTCTACCCCCTCCTCACTCCCTCCCTCCCCTCACCTCACCCTGACCATTTCCCCCCTCCTCGCCCCCTCCCTCCCCTCACCTCACCCTGACCATTTCCCCCCTCCTCGCCCCCTCCCTTCCCTCCCCTCACCCTGACCATTTCCCCCCTGCTCGGGTCCCGACCCAACTTCCAGCGCCTTGGGACATCCTCCCAACGTGAAAGGCACTCTATAAATGCAATCTTGTTGTTGTTGTAGATAGTGTTAGAGTGCAGAGGGATTTGGGTGTCCTTGTACACCAGTCTCAAAAAGTTAGTTTGCAGGTGCAGCAGAAACTAAGAAGGCGAACGGCAGTTAGCGTTCATTGCAAAAGGTTTAGAATATAAGAGTAGGGAAGTCTTGCTGCAACTGTATAGGGCTTTGGTGAGACCGCACCGAGAGTATTGTGTGCAGTTTTGGTTTCCTTATTTCAAAAAGGACATACTTGCCCTCGAGGGGGTGCAGCGCAGATTCACTCGGTTAGTTCCTGGGATGAGGGGACTGACCTATGAGGATAGGCTGAATAAACTGGGGCTGTATTCTCCAGAGTACAGAAAAATTAGGGGAGATCTTATTGAAACATATAAGATTATTAAAGGGCTGATAAAGTAGACACTGAGGGTCTGTTTCCCCGGGAGGAGAATCTATAACCGGGGGTCACAGTCTGAAAATTAAGGGTCAGCCTTTTAGAACAGAGTTGAGGAAACATTTCTTCACTCAGAGGGCAGTGACTTTATGGAATCCACTCCCCCAGAACGCTGTAGATGTCAGTCAGTCCTTGAACATCTTCAAGGCTGAGACTGAGAGATTTGTAAAAAACAGAGGGATTAGAGGATATGGGGACAGGGCAGTTAATTAGAGTTAGGTCTGAAGATCAGCCATGATCTTATCGAATGGCGGGGCACAGGCTCGAGGGGCTGAATGGCCGACTCCTGCTCCTAATTCTTATGTTCTTAGGTCGGGTAGTAAATAGTGAGGAGGACTGTAACCGACTGCAGACAGACATACACAGAATGGTGGAATGGGCTGACATGTGGCAGATGGGTTTCAATGTGGATAAGTGTGAGATGATACACTTAGATAGGAAGAATGATAGGAGGCAATATAGACTTGGAGCTCAATCTTAAGGGGGTGAACGTACAGAGAGATCTGGGTGTTCAAGTAAGCGATTCATTAAAGTAGCGGGACAGGTAGATAGGGCAGTAAAAAGGCATTTGGTGTACTGAGCTTTATTAGTAGGGCATAGAGTATAAGAGTAGGGGTTATGGTTAATCTGTACAAAACACTGGTTAGGCCTCAGCTGGAGTACTGCGTCCAGTTCTGGGTACCGCACCTCAGGAAGGACATGAAGGCACTGGAAAGGGTACAGAGGAGATTCACGAGAATGATACCAGGAATGGGGAACCTTAGCTATGAGGACAGTGGAGAAGTTAGGACTTTTCCCATTAGAGCAGAGAAGGTTACGCGGGGACCTGATAGAGGTCTTCAAGATCATGAAAGGTTTCGACAGGCGAGACAGGGAAAGCTGTTTCCGCTGGTAGGTGTGTCTGTGACCCACGGTCACAGTCTGAAGATATCACCAAAAGAAGCAGAGGGGAGGTTAGAAGAAATGTTTTCACTCAGCGAGTTGTTGGGATTTGGAATGATCCGCCCGAAAGGGCAGTGAAGTCCGATTCCATAACAGCTTTTAAGAGAGAACTGGACAGGTATCGGGGAAGACGGGTTTGTGGGGTTATGGGGAGAAAGCTGGTGATTGGGGTCAGTGAAAGTGACGCTCTGTCAAAGAGCCGCACAGACTCGATGGGCCGAATGGCCTCCTTCTGTGCCGTAACATTCTATGAATCTATGAATCCTCTAGTTTTCAAATCCCTTCAGGCCCTCACACCTCCCTCCCTCCCTCTCCAACGTGCTCAACCCCACTCCACCATCTGCTGCCTTCGCTTGGCTGGCTCCGGCCTTCTGTTCGTCCATCGCCCCATTCGCTCCACCATTGACGGCTGTGCTTTCAGTCACTAAGCCCTGAAGCTCTGTAACTCTCTCCCTCAATTCCTCCGCCTTGCCCCCTCCCTCCCCACTTTCAAATCTCCCCAAAAGACCTTCCTTTTTGATCGTGTTTAAGGTCACCTGCCCCCTCCCTCTCCCCCTGGCTGGGGTTCAGACTCTGCCACTATTAAGAGCTCCAGGACGTTACCCTGTGTGAACGGTGATATACAAATGCAAGTTGTTGTTTGTTGTTGTTGAGACGTTTCAAAGCGCTTCACAGAATATACTGTAAAGTGGATTGACTGTATATTTTGTGGGCGAAATGTGGCAGTCAATTATACACAGCAGTGTCCCACAAACAGCCGTGGATTGAGTGACCAAATTATTAGCATTATTAAACCTTTATTATGTGACCTTTATTAAACCAAATTATTTGGTTTAATATAAAGGACAGTCAACATGGATTTGTTATAGGGAGATTGTGTCTGACAAACCTAACAGTTTTTGGTGAGGAGGATAGCACCAGCCTCCAAGAGGACTTAGACAGATTGGTCAAATGGGCAGAAACGTGGCAGATGAGGTTTAATGTGGAGAAATGTGAGTGTTGCATTTTGGTAGGAAGAATGAGGAGAGGCAATATAAGCTGATGGTACAATCTTAAAGGGGGCAAATGAACAGAGAGACCTGGGGGTCCACATCAGCAAATCTCTGAAGGTGGCCGGACAGGTAATAAAGCTGTTAAAAAAGCATCCGGGATACTCGGCTTTATAAATAGGCCATAGAGTACACAAGTCAGGAGGTAATGCTGAATATTTATAAAGTGTTGGTTAGGCCTCAGTTGGAGACTGCGTTCAGTTCTGGGCTCCGCACCTTAGGAAAGATGTGAGGGCATTGGAGAGGGCGCAAAGGAGGTTTACCCGATGGTACCAGGAATGAAGGACCTTAGTTATGAGGAGAGGTTAGTGAAACTAGGATTATTCTCCCCAGAACAGAGAAGATTCAGAGGGGATTTAATAGAGGTTTTCAAGATCATGAGAGGATTTGACAGGTTGAACCGGAAAACTGTTCCCACTGTCATGAGGGTCAGTAACCCGAGGACACCGATTTAAGATAGTTGTTAAAAGAAACAGAGGGAAGGTTAGGAACCAGCGAGCTGTTGGGATCTGGAATGCATTACCTGAAAGGGTAGTGGAAGCCGATTGAATAACAACTTTTAAGAGAGAAGTAGACGGGTATTTGGAGAGGACAGGATTGCAGGGCTATGGGAGAAAGAGGGCCGGTGGGATTGAGTTGGATTGGTCTTTTAGGAGCCGGCGGGGACATGATGGGCCGAATGGCCTCTTTCTGTGCTGTATGATTCTATGATTCTATTAATTATTAATTACTGCTAGATTACACTCTGCTGGAGAGGTGTATTTAATCCCCCTCCACCGCCAGTAACTCTTCCAGTCAAAATCCAGGTAGCATTTTCCTGTATTACCGGTTTACCAAACGGTGAAACAGAATATTTGAAGTTATGAATAAAGTACAATACCTGCAAACAGGTTTCCCATTTGCCACAATGCAGACACCACCGTTCTGACATTCAAAATCAACGCACAACACAGAAACATTCGGTTTGGAGCCTGGAGGCACGGTGGGTGTAGGTGGTGAGGGTTTGGATTGATATGTTAAAAGGTGCGATATGTCTGAAAGAGAAAAGCTCTATTAACATAACATAACATAACATGTAGGAGCAGGAGGAGGCCATTCGGCCCTTCGAGCCTTCCCTGCCATTCAATCATGGCTGATCTTCTAAACTAACTCCAGCTAATAACCTGACGCTGCCTTACCCCCATATCCCATAATCCCTTTTGCAATAAGAAATCTATCTATCTCAGTCTTGAATATGTTCAAGGACTGAGCGTCAACAGCCCTTTGGGGTAGTGAGTTCCATACATTCACCGCCCTTTGAGTGAAGAAGTTCTTCCTCGACTCCCTGTGAAAAGGCTGACTTGTGATAATAATAATAATTATTATTAATAATTAATAATAATCTTTGCATTTGATATAACACCTTATCATGTCTTTGAGACGTCTCAAGGCGCTGTTGATGTAACATGTGTCAGTGGGGAAATTGAGAATGGTTGGCATGTTTGGGTGTTCCCTAAATACAGGTATCAGCTTTAACACCTACTCACACGGTTAGGTTATCACATCACAATCAGTCAAAATTTTACCCACAGGAATGGAAAACACAAAATCTCGTCATAGATTCCACGTGAATTGGATGTGACTGTTTCAGCTGGTTATACCCCACACTCTGGGGTCCTCAAGCCTTGGCTCTTGCCAACCTGCGCCTAATATGGAATTATGTAGGCAGGATGAGTCCCTCCAGGGAGAGAGAGATAGAGAGAGAGAGAGTGCATTCCATTCCAACAATCTCTCTCTGGGATTTCTATGCGTAATTGGAATGCATAGAATTCTCAGTTTGGTTTGGAGATTCTTAAGCAACTGATGGGTTTCCGAATGTGTCAGACACTTGGCTGACCCCCCAAAAATATACTAAACATAAATATAAAATTGTACCTTCCCAGGTTAAAAGGAAAAAAACATTGCCTTCCTTAATAAAGTCTCTGCTTCTCAGTCTCTGGTGGGATATGTACATCGATGACCCTTTTCCTTCCCCAATGCGATATTCAATGCCATCAGGGCCCTTTATCCGTGTTCCTACTTTATCCGGTCTATCCCATCTCGCGAATGTTTGATTACCTGCAGAGCAAGCCAGATAACAATGAATGTGAGTAATAATAATAATAATCCTTGCATTTGATGTAGTTTGATATATCACATTTTTGAGACCTCTCAAAGCGCTTCACAGAATACATTGTAAAATGACTTGACTGTGAATTTTGTGGGCAATTGCACACAGCAGTGCCCCACACACAGCCGTGGGGCGAGTGGGCAATATTATTTGGAGGATTGTTGTCCAGGACACCGGGAGAGAGAGAGAAACTCCCTTCTCTTTTCCAATAGCCCCGCGGGATCTTTACCATCCACCTGAACAGGCAGACGGGACCTCGGTTTAACGTCTCCTCCCGAGGACGGCACCTCCCACAGTGCAACCCCCCCCCCAGCGCTGTATTGGGGCATCAGCTTAGACTGTGTGATTCCAAGTCCTGACGTGAGATTTGACCCCACTCAGAGGTAAGAATGCTACCACTGAGCCAAGTTAACACATACTAGTCCTGTAGAATAGAGGTTAGCGCAGAGGACCCAGGTTTGATTCCTGGTCAGGATGAAACCTTGACCAAGGTTCCTTACTCCACAAGCCTGTTTACCCAGCAGGAGCAGGAACTCAGTTGTTAGTCAATTGCTGTTTACTTTCCGGAAGTAATAATCCCTTCAAAAAAAATTGGACTCAATCCACGACTGTTTGTGGGACACCCTGTGGACAATTGGCTGCCACTTTTCGCCCACAAAATACACAGTCAATTCACTTGACGTTAATTCTTACTCTGCAGTCACTAATCCAAGCAACTCTATATAAGTTACACGGTTCTTTGAGATTTTATCCATCTGGTCAACTGACCATTATACTCCCATAATTCACACTTGTTTTTCACTCACTTTGCCCTGGAGCAAGTGTTCCTTGAGATTCTAGCATTTTCTGTTACTCTTACTCTGCAGTAAATAATCCTTCTCTTTCTAATACTTGATATTAGATGAATTAATATTCTATATGCTCCCTCTTGGGGATGTCATCCGTAGACATGGGGTACATTTCCACATGTACGCGGACGACACCCAACTCTATTTTTTCACCTCTCTGCCTGTCAGGGGCTGGAAGAGCGCAAACTTCCTTCAGCTGAACGTTGACAGAACGGAAGCCACACTCTTTGGCTCACGTCAATGTCTAAAATCTCTCGGTCCTCACCTCCTCCACCCGCCCGACCTCCCCCTAAAACTCTCCGAACCCGTACGCAACCCTGGCGTCAGGTTCCACCCCCAATCATCCTTCCTCCCCCACATCCGGTCCCTCACCAGCACCACTTTCTTCCACCTCCGACGCATCGCCCGTCTCCGCCAATACCTCTCCCCAAAAGCCGCTGAAACCCTGGTCCGTGTCACCTCTCGGCTGCACTACTCTAACGCCCTCCTCACCGGTCTCCCCTCCACCACCATCCATACACTCCACATCATCCAGAACTCTGCGCCCACATTCTCACCCGCACCAAACCCCTCTCCCCGATCCCCCCAGTCCTGGCCCTCACCCCCACCGCCAAACCCCACTCCCCGATCCCCCCAGTCCTGGCCCTCCCTCCCACCCCCAAACCCCACTCCCCGATCCCCCCAGTCCTGGCCTTCCCCCCCACCCCCAAACCCCACTCCCTGATCCCCCCAGTCCTGGCCTTCCCCCCCACCCCCAAACCCCACTCCCTGATCCCCCCAGTCCTGGCCCTCCCCCCCACCCCAAACCCCACTCCCCGATCCCCCCAGTCCTGGCCCTCCCCCCACCCCCAAACCCCTCTCCCCGATCCCCCCAGTCCTGGCCCTCCCCCCACCCCAAACCCCTCTCCCCGATCCCCCCAGTCCTGGCCCTCCCCCCCCACCCCCAAACCCCTCTCCCCGATCCCCCCAGTCCTGGCCCTCCCCCCCACCCCCAAACCTCTCTCCCCGATCCCCCCAGTCCTGGCCTTCCCCCCCACCCCAAACCCGTCTCCCCGATCCCCCAGTCCTGGCCCTCCCCCCCACCCTCCAACCCCACTCCCCGATCCCCCAGTCCTGGCCCTCCCCCCACCCCAAACCCCTCTCCCCGATCCCCCAGTCCTGGCCCTCCCCCCCACCCCCAAACCCCTCTCCCCGATCCCCCAGTCCTGGCCCTCCCCCCCACCCCAAACCCCTCTCCCGATCCCCCCAGTCCTGGCCCTCCCCCCCACCCCAAACCCCTCTCCCCGATCCCCCAGTCCTGGCCCTCCCCCCACCCCCAAACCCCTCTCCCCGATCCCCCAGTCCTGGCCCTCCCCCCACCCCCAAACCCCTCTCCCCGATCCCCCAGTCCTGGCCAGACTGCACCGGCTCCTGTCCCAGAGAGGATCCACTTCAAGATCCTCACCTTGTGTTCAAGTCCCTGCACTCCTCTGCCCCCCCCGACCTCTCTGACCTCCTCTCCCCTCACAACAGTGCCCATTGCCTTCGTTCCTCCGGGTCTGACCTCCTCCTCGTCCCCCGAGGCCTCCGCTCCCCCCTCGCGGCTGTGCCTTCAGCCACTACCCCCCGAGGCTCTGGAACTCCCTTCCTCACTCCCTTCCCCTCGTCCCCTCTCTTCCTATTTTCAGGTCTCGGCTGAAGATCTTTCTTTGCGACGGCACCTTTGGTCACCTTCCCCCCCCAACCCCCTCCCCTGGCTCCTCCCCCTCCCCAAGGCTCCTCCCCCTCCCTCAGGCTCCTCCCAAGCTCCTCCCCCACCCTTGGCTCCTCCCCCTGGTTCCTTCCCTTGGCTCCTCCCCCTCCCCTGGCTCCTCCTTGGCTCCTCCCCCTCCCCTGGCCCCTCCCCCTGGCTCGGTCCTGGGATCCATTACTGTGAAGCTCTGCGATGCCGTCCGGAGTGGGGGCACTATATACGTCCAAGTTGTTGTTGTTGTTGATATAATCTCACCCTCTTTGCCACATATCCCTGACCTAACAAAACTATTCACCTCTTGAAAATCTGATTTCACTCCTAAATGGCTTTGCTCTAATTTTAAGATTAAGCCCCTTTTTCTGTAATGCTGTAGCTCAGTGTTTAGAGCTCTCACCTCACAAGTGAGAGGACCTGGGCTTGATTCCTGGGCAGGGCAAAATGTTGGGCAAGTATCTTTACTCCACGTGCCTCTGTTTACCAGCAGTAAGTAGGAACCCGGTTGTTAGTCGATTAGCAGATTAATTTTCCGGGTGTAATAATCCCTTCCAAAAAAATAATAATTTGGCCACTCAATCCACGGCTGTTTGTGGGACGCTGCTGTGCGCAATTGGCTGCCACGTTTCGCCCACAAAATATACAGTCAATTCACTTTACAGTATATTCTGTGAAGAGCTTTGAGACGTCTCAATGATGTGATAAGGCGTTGTATCAAATGCAGGGATTATTAATCGATGCAACGAGGTAATACAATACACAATTGACCTGTGTCTATGACATCCTCGGGATCCATAATAATGCTGCGTTGGTTAGACATACGGTGTCGGATATCTGGATGCTGGTCCATGAGAGATATGGTGACTTGCTTCCAAGGACAAGGCCATTGCAGGCTGTTATCGTAAAGTCCGCTGATTAGAAACAGAAAGACAGAGAGGTGATACGGGATATGCTTTGTACCGTTCACAAACAGCACAATTTGAAAAGCATATCCATCGCTGGAGTAATATTTGGGACTAAAGATTCTTCCGTCTTTCCCTGAGGGGCTCGTTCTCAATAGTCTGTTGAAATCTGTGATGTGCCACATGTGGGTGGGGCACTTGGTTTCTGACAGGTTCACATTGTCGATGGAGATGCCTCCGCTCGAATTGTTGCTGCCTTTCACTCCTTCGAAGACGATGCGGAATGGTCTGGTGGCGTTCAGGCTGATGTGGTGAAGCTGCCAAAAGCCGAACTCTGTGCCTGGAAGGAAAATAATAATTAATAATCGTCCTTGCATTTCTCTGACCTGTTTGCTCCCCACTCCACTGCCCGCTGCCTCCGATCGGCTGGCTCCAGCCTCCTGCTTGTCCCTCATCCCCTCCACCAACGGCGTTAGTGCTTTATATAAATCGGGCTGGGACGTTACTCTGTGTGACGAAAGCTATATAAGTGCAAGTTGTTGCTGTTGTTGCTTTCAGCTACTACACCCCGAAGCTTTGCAGGCTTTTCCCTCTATTAAATGATGACTGAAGACCTTCCTCAGCAAAATGCACAATAATACATCACTTCAAAAAAAAAATTGGCTACTCAATCCACGACTGTTTGTGGGACGCTGCTGTGTGCAATTGGCTGCCGTGTTTCACCCATAAAATACACAGTCAATTCACTTTGTGGTATATTCTGTGAAGCGCTTTGAGACATGTGAACGACGTGATAAGGTGCTGTATTAAATGCAAGGATTATTATTGTTATTATTATTATTACCTCTCCTTCCCCATCTTTAGGTCCCACCTGAAGACCTTCCTCTTCGACCGTGCGCACAGTCACCTCCCCCTCCCCCTCCCCCCAGCTCAGCATCGTGCTCTGCCATTGTCAAGTGCTGTGAGACACTACCCTGCATGAGGGGCACTGTGTAAGTGCAAGTTGTTGTTGTTGTTCATTGACATACCTCCAATAGTTTGGACGTTTGTTGAGTTAACACGTCTGTTAATCTTGTCATATATTTTGACCCAAACGTTCAGCTGATCCTCTTCACTCCCATTTTTGTAATAGTAGAATTGCAAGCACTGAAATGTTCTCTTCGGGAGATATGTCCTGGTTTTCAAAAAGCCTCGATCTCCTATGTTCCCTGTGCTGGTGTCGAAATACATGAAGTTGCCAAAACCTGTACATATTAAACATAGTATTATAATAATAATATTCCTTTTGATATAGCGCCTTATTAAGTCATTGACACGAATCAAAGCGCTTCACGGAATATACTGTAAAGTAACTTCACTGTGTATTTTGTGGGTGAAACGCGGCAACCAATTGCACACAGCAGTGTCCCACAAACAGTCGTGGATTGAGTGACCAAATTATTATTACTTTATTTATTTATTTATTTTTGAAGGGATTATTTTTCCCGGTAAAGCGATCCACCAATCGACTGAACACCGGGTTTCTACTTCCTGTTAGGTAGACAGAGGTGTGTGGCTTAGGGAAACTTGCCCAAGGATTCCTCCCGCCTGAGAATGGAACCTGGGTCCTCTCGCTTGTGAGGCGAGCTACTGGACTCCACGTTTTAAGATATGAGACTGCAGGAAAAAACCGCAAGTGCAGTGTCTAGTTTTGAAAGCGGTTGACAGCAGGGCGATATACCTTACCGTTACACTTGTTCCCTTTGTTGTAGTTGGTCTCACGTCTGATGTGACGCCAAGCAATGACACTTGCTGAGCTGTGAACCATGCTGCAAATGTTTGGCTCTTCAAAATCACAACTGTCTAAAAAGGTGAGCGAAGAGGCTGACAGAAACACAAAGGAAGAGCTTGGTTTGGAGACTTGTAAAAATGCTGATGGATTTCCACATGTGTCAGACGCCCGGCTGGGCAAAGGAACAGCAAGAGAAAAGGTGGACATCATTCAACTTTCAACTTCACCGCAAAATAATCTTCTGTTTGGATTTAAGATTGGGTTCTTACTCCCTGCCTTGTCCTGTGAACCCTAACTTTGGTTGGGTTACAGTTTCTTTTCATGTTGGCCACTTCAGTGAGGGACTTCATGCATCAGCCTCAATAGTGAGTTGGTGAGCGTCTTATCATGCCATTGAGACGTTTCAAAGCGCTTCACAGAATATATTGTAAAGTAGATTGACTGTGTTTTGTGGGTGAAACATGGCAGTCAATTACACCCAGGAGTGTCACACAAACAGTCCTGGATTGATAGACCAAATTATTATTATTTTAATAAATTGCATGTATGTATGTATGTATGGCAATCTGTGTGGTTTTAGCTGGTTAGACTGTGTAATATCCTTTGAGACGTCTTTCATCTATATAAATGTTAACCCTGCAAGCCAGGTAGGATGGTCCTAGCTGGACAAGCAGCAGGAAAGCTGGCCAGACAGTGATATCAATGGCAAGCTCTGTGGGTTTAGCTGGTTAGACTCCAGCAGTTACCCCAACACAAACTCTGGGGTCCCCCAAGCCTTGGGGAAATCTCAGTTGGGTTTGGAGACTCTTAAACAAGTGATGGGTTTCGGACACCCTGCTGACCAAAAGAAAATCTTCCTTCCTTTCCTTGCTCCTACCCTTCCCATGACCATGGTTCTACTCAGATAGCTGTAACTTACTGCAGTTGTACAGTTGATTGACTTTCTGAACATCCTGATCACTGAGTTCCATGCGTTGCCGATCAACATGTTGAATTCCGGGATTTTGGTGAGTATGGTGAGGTTATTGTCTTTGGAATATGCGGTGCCACCATAATGCATCACAGACATGTAGTCATACGGTACGTTCAGCTTAGACATAAGTGTTGCACTGAATTTGTTGAAATTATGGACTTTGTCTGAAATGGATGTTAGCAACTGATTACTGACATACATGAATAGTACTGGGACAATAATAATAATCATACTTGCATTTGATACAGCGCCTTTTCACGTCTTTAAAACATCTCAAAGCGCTTCGCAGGATACACTTTAAAGTGAATTGACGGTGTATTTTGTGGGCGAAACGTGGCAGCCAATTGCGCACAGCAGCGTCCCACACACAGTCATGGATTGAGTGGCCAACTTATTATTATTATTTTATTTTGAAGGGATTATTACCCCCGGAAAAGTGATCCGCCAATCGACTAACAACTTACTTGCTTGGTAAATAGAGCCGTGTGAGTAAGGAATCTTGCCGAGAGCTTCACCCTGCCTGGGAATCAAATCTGGGTCCTCTCGCCGGCAAGGTAAGTGCTCTAACCCTACAGGACACTACAGTATCGGTTCTTATCAGTTACTCCTTGAGCTAGTAATGGCCAGAAACGTTGTCCTGTTGATGATTGGTGGTGAGGTGCCAGAGCAACAAGAACATTTTGGATTTATATAGTGTCCTCATGCAGGATAGCATTCCATAGCGCTTGAACAGCCAATTGAGCTCAAAGGATTGAGCTCCTGGCAACAGCTATGAACCCTGTGTTGGTTGGAGTCGGTATTGCAGCACTTCCCACCCAAGGAGTATGACCTGCCCTCACACAGAGCCCCTGGTCACAAGGCTCATGCTACAGAGGCCATCCCATCACCTGACCTGTTCAGGGGGTGTGAAGACAGGTTTCACCCGAAGGCTACTGGAAATCTGGAACTCTTCCCCACCCTCAGAGGCTGTGGATTATGGCTGGATCCATTCAATTTTTCAAGACTGAGGTGGGCAGATGTTTGTTAGTTCAGGGGATCAAGGGATATGGGGCAATGGTGGGTAAATATAGTTGAGATGCAGATCAGCCATAGAATGGTGAAACAGGCTCGAGGGGCTGAATGACCTCCTCTTGTTCCTATGTTCAGGTCCCTATTGTCCTTTGCTAATTTGTGTCCGAGAAGGGTTTGGGGGAAGAGGAGGGGAGGGGTTATTCTCCGAGGACAACCCTCGTTCCCTAAATGGAACATATTCGGGGAATTTGGCTAATGGGGGTGAGCAGGCCTGACCTCGCTCAATAAGCAAAAGTAAAGCGCTCCGAGACTCTACATAGGGCATTATATAAATGCAAGTTATTATCGTTTTTCTAATATTGATAATCCTTGAACATGGAGTCCTACAGTGTAGTAGTTAGAGAATTTGCCTCACAAGTGAGAGGTCCTGGATTTGATTCCCCAGCAGGGCAAAATGTTGGGCAAGTTTCCTTACTCCACACACCTCTGTTTACCAGCAGTAAGTAGGGATCCGGTTTTTAGTCAATTGGTGGCTCACTTTTCTGGGGGTAATATTCCTTCAAAATAAAAAACATGTGGTCACTCAATCCACTACTGTTTGTAGGACACTGCTATGCAATTGGCTGCCACATTTTGTCCACACAATGCAGTCAATTCACATTACAATATATTCTGTGAAGCACTTTGAGACATGTCAACGATGTGATGAGGTGCTATATCAAATGCAAGGATTATTATTTGATATAGCGCCTTATGACATCATTGAAGCTTCTCAAAAGGGCTTATAATAATCCTTGCATTTGATATAGCACCTTATCAGTCTTCAAGACATCTCAAAGCGCTTCACAGAATTTACTGTAAAGTGAATTCACTGCATATTTTGTGGGCGAAATTCAGCAGCCAATTGGACACAGCATCGTCCCACAAACCAAATGACAAAATTAGAGGACATGGATAGGAAACAGTTGTATTCTCTCTATCTGTGATCAGGGCTCCACTGTCTCCTTGTCCTCCTGGATCTCTCTGCCGCATTCGACACAGTCAACCACGCCATCCTCCTCTATCAGCTCTCCTCCCTCATCTACCTGAGTGGGATCGAGTCCTACTTAACCAACTGCCTCCATTTCATCTCAGCAAATGGTTTCTCCTTGTGCCCCCGCCCAGCGACTTGTGTGGTGCCCCAGGGCTTGGCCTCTTCTTTTCCTTATCTATAAGCTCCCTCTGGGCGATGTCACCCTTAGACACGGGATAAACGTCCACATGTATGCGGATGAACCACACAAATCTGCTTTGCCTCCTCCAGCACCAATTCCAGGTCTGCCAATGTTCTATCAGTTTGTCTGGTAGACATCAGGGCCTGGATGAGTGTAAACTTCCTGCAGCTGAATGGGGACAAGACGGAAGCCATACTCTTTGGCTCCCGTCAATATCTTCACTTCTGTGGATCTGAACTCCTCAACCTCCCTGGGTTCTCCCTCACACTCACCAAACCAGTGCGCAATCTAAGCATCCGGTTCGACCCCAGCTGTCCTTCCTCCTCCACATCCGGTCCCTGACCAGGAGGCCTTCCTCCATCTCCACCACATTGCCCACCTCCGACCGTACCTTACCCCCATATGCAGCCGAAACCCTTGTGCATGTGTTTGTCACCTCCCCCTGGATTACTGCAACCCCCTCCTCGCCGGTCTCCTCAGCTCCACTATTCACAAGATCATCTCATTCAGACTCTGCCGCCCACACACTGACCTGAACCAAACTCCATCCCCACATCTCACCCGCTCTGGCCCAGACTCCACTGGCTCCCCATCACCCAACACATCCACTTCAAGATGCTCTCACTCTCGTGTTCAAATCCCTTCACTCCCTGGCACCTCCCCACCTCTCCGACCCTCTCCGACCCCCTCACTCCCCACCTCTCCGACCCTCTCACTCCCCATCTCTCCGGCCCCCTGACTCCCCATCTCTCTGAACCCCTCACTCCCCACCTCTCCGAACCCCTTGCTCCCCACCTCTCAGACCCCTCGCTCCCCACCTCCGACCCCCTCACTCCCCACCTCTCCGACCCCCTCACTCCCCACGTCTCCGACCCCCTCACTCCCACCTCTCCGACCCCCTCACTCTCCACCTCTCTGACCCCCTCACTCTCCACCTCTCCGACCCCCTCAGTCCCCACCTCTCCGACTCCCTCACTCCCCAATCCACCACCAGATGCCTCCACTCGACTGGCACCAGCTCCTGCGCGTCCCTCACACCCTCTGCCCCACCATCAGAGGTCGCACTTTCCAATGCCTTGTGACGTCCTCCCAACGTGAAAGAAGCTATATACAAATGTAATTTTGTTGTTGTTTCAGCCACGACATCCCGAACTCTGGAACACTCTCCCTCCGCCTTGCCCCCTCTCTTCCCTTTCTCTTTGACCTTCCTCTTCAATCGTGCTGATGGTCACCTTCGCTCCTCCCCCCACTCCCGGCTCGGAGTCAGCCTCTGCCACTGTTAAGCGCTCTGAGACACTACCCTGCGTGCAGGGCACAATATAAGTGCAAGTTGTTGTTGTAATATATAATCATAGACAGTAAAAAGTTCTAATGTGAAACCTCCTGTTTACCAGTTTGAATTTGATCCCAAATGACTGTGATGTAGTCGTCACGATCATCTCTGGATTGCTCGTGAATCATTCCCAGGAAATGAAGGATCTCGTGCTCTACGATGCCAATCTCGTTACAGCTCAGCTGAAGTGACACATTCTGTTTCCCTCTTTGTTGGTTGCCAATGAAGGACCAGCACCTGCAGAACAATATACAACAACAACAACTTTATATAATAATAATAAACCTTGCATTTGACATTGTGTCCTTCATGCAGAGGAGCGTCCCAGAACACTGAATATATAATATATAATATAAATAAATGCACAAGATGCTGAGGAGAAGCAGTGAGAACTAGGAGAAGGCTTACCCATCACTATCTTGAAATGAGATGTAGTTTCTCTCTCCTGCCCAAGGTTTAAAATCAATGCAGGTTTTCAGACGGTACTGTTCAAAAGCTTTCATGATAAGACCTTTGATACCCAGTTCTTTAGGAACAAAAAAGAGTTCAGTTCAGGAGAATGGACTGCAATTTGTATTGATTGATTGATTGATTGATTGATTGGTTGGTTTGCCGGGTGTCTGACACATGTGGAAACCCATCACTGTGCTCAATAGTAATAGGAGCCAGGGGGAGGTGACCAAAGGAGCGGTCGGAAAAAAAGGTCTTCAGTAGGGACCTGAAAATAGGGGACGAGGCGAAGGGAGTGAGGAAGGGAGTTCCAGAGCCTCGGGGCACAGTGGCTCAAGGCACGGCCGCCGAGGGTGGAGCGGAGGACTTGGGGGACGAGGAGAAGGCCAGACCCGGAGGAACAAAGGCAACGGGTACTGTTGTGAGGAGAGAAGAGGTCAAAGAGGTCGGGGGGTGCAGACGAGTGGATGGATTTGAATACGAGGTTGAGGATCTTGAAGTGGATCCTCTCTGGGACAAGAGCCGGTGCAGTCTGGCCAGGACTGGGGGGATCGGGGAGAGGGGTTTGGGGGTGGGGGGGAGGGCCAGGACTGGGGGGATCGGGGAGTGGAGTTTGGTGCGGGTGAGAATGCGGGCGGCAAAGTTTTGAATGATTTGTATTTTATGGATGGTGGTGGATGGGAGACCGGCGAGGGGGGCGTTAGGGTAGTCCAGCTGAGAGGTGACAAAGACCTCACAATCACCGATAAAGCCATCTCAGATCACTATTTAATTTCCCTTAACTGCCCAACTCTCTCCCCACCGCCACCCAACCCACCTCCATCTCCTACCGCCTATGGAAAATAATCTCTCCTCACTCCCTCTCCGCTGCTCTGAAATCGTTTGAACTCCTCCCCCTCTGGCCTACCTCCCGCAATGATATATCCTCCTCGCTCACTCTCCTCCACAATTCCCACTCCACCACTCTGGATGCCCTTGCCCCTCTCACCTCCCGAACCATCTCCTACTCACAAACCTCACCCTGGTACACCTCTGCTCACTCAAGGGTCAGGTGTGTGCCACTGAACCCACCTGGCTCAAGTCTGATCTAACGGTCCACCAGCAGATCTGGCTGGACCACATAAACACTACTGCACCGCCCTTGACTCCGCTAAATCGTCTGTCTATTTCAAGGTAATCCTGAAGGCCAAGGACAACCCCAGGCTTCTCCTCTCCACTACCAACCGGCTCCTCCGTCTACCCTCTCACGCCTCGCCCATTCTTTCCTCCAACTCTAACTGCGAGGAGATGCTGGATTTGCTTGAGACCAAAATTGAGGGGATCCGTTCAGCTGCCTCCCCTCTCCCAACTGCCGCCCCCTCCCCATCTCTCCTTCACACTCCAGCCAATACCCATCCCTCCCTCCACACCTTCGAACTTGTCTCCCCCTCCTCTCGCACTACCACTATAACCCGCATGAAGCCCACTACCTGCTCCCTCGACCCCATCCTTACCCCTCTCCTTACCTCCCAGCTCCACCTCCTCTGCCCCTTTACTCTCAGACCTCATCAACCTCTCTGTCCATTCTCACCTCCCCTAAAAATAGCTGTTATCAATCCTATCCGAAAAATACCTTCCCTGGACCCATCCCTGCTCACAAACTATCCCCCATCTCCATCCTCCCTTTCCTTTCCAAGGTCCTTGAAAAAGTTGTTGCTTCCCAGCTTCGCTCCTTCCTCTCCTGCCACTCCCTTCATGAACCCCTCCAATTGGGTTTCCTGCCCTCGGCACAGAAACAGCCATGGTCAAGGTAACAAATGACATTCTGTCCATCTGTGACCAGGGCTCCCTCTGCCTCCTCATCCTCCTCGACCTCTCATCTGCCTTCGACCCTGTGGACCATTCTTGTGTGGTGTTCCTCAGGGCTCTGACCTTGGTTCCCTCCTTTTCAACCTGTACATGCTCCCTCTTGGTGATATCATCTGTAGATGTGGGGTCAACTTTCACATGTATGCGGATGACACCCAACTTTACGTGTCTGCCTCCACCCTCGATCCCAGGACCCACTGCTGTCCTGACACCATCAGACATCAAGTCCTGGATGAGAGCTAATTTTCTACAGTTGAACATCAAAAGACCGAGGCTCCTGATTGATTCCCGTCCACCCTCCAGGCACTGGCAGCATCAGCATCCATGGATGCACACACCACCTCATTAAGCCAGTCAGGAACTTAGGCATCTTGTTCGACCCTCAACTGTTCTTTCTCCCCTACATCCATGCTATGACCCGCTCTGCCTTCTCCAACCTCCACAACATTGCCTGACTCCCCCACTGCCTCACTCCTCAGGCCACCATAACCCTCATTTACGCTTTCATTACAACCAGGCTTGACTATGCCAACTATGCTTGTCGGCCTCCCTAACTCGTCCTGCCACAAGTTGCAAATCATCCAGAACTCTGCAGCCCATGTCCTCTCCTACACCAGGCTTTGTAACCCCATCACCTCCTCCCTCGCCCGACTCCACTGGTTCCCCATCCCTCAGAGGATCGCGTTCAAAATTCTCATCCTCACCTTCAAGGCCCTCCATGGTCTTGCCCCTCCTACTTCTCTGACTTGCTAACCCCTTATCAACCTACCTACTCTCACCGCCCTGCTCCATGTCCCCCGCCCAGCTCACCCACCTTCGGCGGTCGGGCCTTCATGTCCGTTACCCCCACCGCACGGATTCTAATTCCTGACTGTTCAGCACCTTTGGACCTTCTCCTGATCAAATTTTGTATTGTATGTAAACCAGTTAAAAAGCTATTGTACTTGTGGTATATCCGTGATGTACTTTGGGAAGTTCTCCCGACATGAAAGGTGTCATAACAAATGTAAAGATAATTATTATTTCTAATTCTCTAAAATAAATTAGAGTTAGGTTGGCAGACTCAGACTGATAATAATAATAATAATTCTTGTATTTGATATTGCACATTATCATGTCTTCGAGACGTCCCAAAGCTCTTTACAGGATACGCTGTAAAGTGAATTGATTGTGTATTTTGTTGGCGAAATGAAGCAGCCAATTGCACAAACACAGCGTCCCACAAACAGTCGTGGATTGAGGGACCAAATTTTTTTTGGGCGAGAGATTATTACCCCTGGAAACCGATCTGCCAATCGACTAACAACCAGGTTCCTACATACTGCTAAGTAAATAGAGGTGTGTGGGGTAAGAAACTTGCCTAAGGTTTCGCCCTGCCCGGGACTCAAACCCAGATCCTCTCGCTTGTGAGGTGAGCACACTAACCAACCAGCAGAACTCCACAAAAGATGTTAAAACCAACCTGCTTATGCCCATAGCAATATTCACCTAGATTATTCTCCATGTAGTATGGGATGGTCTTTGGCCACAGGCCAAACCCAACCTTCCTTCTGTGGGATGCCTGGAATCAGAAGCAACACTAGCCAAGTCAGGGCTGCCCACAGTCGATATATGCACCATAATAGCCACGATAGGGTGAACATTGTTACATGTAATGTATGAATTAAAGTAAATTCCTGATAACCTGTCACCCCAAGGGGAAGAGGACTCAGTGATGAGTTAGGCCTTTATATAAAAACATAAATAAATGTGGCTGGGATATTGACAGCAATGAAGACTTAAGCCAGGGTTATCCAGTTTTGAGGAGCATGAACGCACATACAAAACACACCATTGGTGGCCCACTGACCTCCTGGTTAAAGCCAGATGTAATCGTGGCTAATTTTGTAGAACTCTCGTCTCTGGTTCAGAAGATTGTTGGTTCAAGCCCCATCTGTGGCTCATAGTGGTGCAACTGGTGGCCTGTGGGCCACATCCGGCCCAGGGGGGATGGTTTCTGGCACTCTCCTCGCAAGCGAGAGGACCTGGGTTCAATTCCCAAGCAACAACAACAACTTGGATTTACATAGCGCCCTCCACGCCGGACGATGTCTCAGAGCGCTTTACAGTAATGGATCCCGGGACCGAGCCGGGGGGAGGGGGGGGAAAGGTGACCCAAGGCGCGGTTGAAGGTGACCCAAGAAGGATGAAACCTTGGGCAAGTTTCCTTACTCCACATACCTCTGTTCACTTAGCAGTGAGTAGGAATCCGTTAGTCAATTGTCGGATTGCTTTTCCGGGGATAATAATAATTTGGTCTCTCAATCCACGACTGTTTGTGGGACATTGCTGTGTACAATTTGCTGCTGTGTTTCACCCACAAAATATACATAATAAATTCAGTTGACAGTATATTCTGTGAAGCGCTTTGAGACGGCTCAACGACATGATAAAGAGCTATATCAAATGCAAGGATTATCATTATGTGTGACAGACTATAAAGTATAATGTAGGGAAGTGCCACCTCGGTAGCAAAAACAGTAGAGCGGGTTATTTTTTAGAAGGGGAGAGATTGGAATGTGTTAGCGTCCAAAGGGACTTGGGTGTCCTTGTACACCAATCACAGAAAGTTAGTCTGCAGGTGCCTCGAGCCATCAGGAAGGCGAACGGTATGTTAGCATTCATTATGAAAGGATTAGAGTATAAGAGTAGGGAAGTGTTGCTGCAACTGTTTCGGGCCCTGGTGAGACCACACCTGGAATACTGTGTCCAGTTTTGCTCTCCTCATTTAAGGAAGGATGTCTTTGCCTTGGAGGGGGTGCAGTGTAGATTTACTGGGTTAGTACCAGGGATGAAGGGGATGAGTTACGAGGATAGGCTGACCAATTTGGGCCTATATTCTCTAGAATATAGAAGAATTAGAGGGGATCTTATAGAAACCTATAAGATCATCAAAGGCCATGATAGAGTAGATAGTGGGAGATTGCCCCCGGTTGGAGAAACTAAAGCCGGGGTCACAACCTTAAAATCAGAGGACAGCCCTTTCGCACTGAGTTGAGGAAGAACTTCTTCATTCAAAGGGCAGTGAATGTATGGAACTCACTACCCCAAAGGGCTGTTGACGCTCAGTCCTTGAACATATTCAAGATGAGATAGATAGATTTCTTATTGCAAAAGGGATTAAGGGATATGGGGATAACGCAGGGTCAGGGGGCAGGTTATTAGCTGGAGTTAGATGAGAAGATCAGCCATGATTGAATGGCAGGGAAGGCTCGAAGGGCCGAATGGCCTCCTCCTGCTCCAACATGTTATGTTATAAAATTCATGGAATTCATTAACTGACCTTGTTAACTTTAATGTCGCCCTCTAGGAGATTCAGCCCCAGGTCTGCGGAGAAGAGGAACAACATTCAGAGTCCTGTAAAGGTTCAGTTGACACAGAAAGGATCTTGGCTGATGTTTCAATGTAGTGCTGGGGCAGTACTGCATTGTTGGAACCACCAACAAGATGTTAAACCGAGGTCCCGTCTGCCTGTTCAGGTGGATGGTAAAGATCCTGCGGGGCTATTGGAAAAGAGAAGGGAGTGTCTCTCTCTCTCCCGGTGTCCTGGACAACAATCCCCAAATAATATTGTCCACTCGTTCCATGACTGCTATCCTCCTGGGGTGGGGGGGGGGGGGGGGGGGTGAGGTAATTGGGATCTCCTTGGAGCTGAACTGGCCCCAAGGTGACATGTTTGGCAACGGAATGTCAGTACCGGCCCCCCTCTCTGTGCCGGTCTCCAGTCCGGGTCCTGACCAGGAGGGGCCGCAGTGTCCCGGGGCACTCACTGCTGATGGTAGCACAGCCCGGCCCGGCTCATCAGCAGGACCTGGAAGGGCCGACCAGTCACTGGGGGCCGGGAATCCTCCCCTCAGCTCCTGGTAACCCCACAGCCAAAGCCCTAACTAACGGGGAGGGGGGTCCTCGCTGGACAAGCAGCGGGAAAGCTGCCAGACAATGATTGTGGAGTCCTGTAGCTCAGTGGTTAGAGCACTCGCTTTGCAAGTGAGAGACCTGAGTTCAATTCCAGGCAGAGGGCGAAACCTTGGGCAAGTTTCCTTAAGCCACACAGAGCCTAATAATAATCCTCCAAAACCAAAACCAATAATAAATTGGTCATTTTCAATCTACGACTGTTTGTGGGACATTGCTGTGCGCAATTGGCCGCCGCGTTCGCCCACAAGTATACAGTGAATTCACTTTACAGTATATTCTGTGAAGCGCTTTGGGATGTCGAGAAGACGTGAAAAGCGTTCTATCAAATGCAAGGATTATTATTATTATTATTATATCAATGACCAAGCTGTGTGGGTTTAGCTGGTTAGACTCCAGCAGTTACCCCAACACACACTCTGGGGCCCCCCAAGCCTTGGCTCTTGCCAACCTGCTCCTAACACTGTTCCCATCCCCCTAAAACAGCTACAATCTCTCTGTGCTGAAAAACCCTTCCTTGGACCCATCCCTGCCTTTTAACCTCCGGCCCATCTCCAACCTCCCTTTTCTTTCGAAAGTCCTGGAAAGAGTTGTTGCTTCCCAGCCTGGCTCCTTCCTTTCCTACCACTCCTTTCACAAGCCTCTCCAATCGATTTTTCCGTGTTGCTCACATCATCGAAACTGCTCTGGTCAAGGTGATAAATGACATCCTTTCTATCTGTGACCAGGGCTCCCTCTGCCTCCTCGTGCTCCTCGATCTCTCTGCTTCCTTCAATACCATGGACCACTCCATCCTCCTCCACCGGCTCTCCTCTCACCTCAACCTTCAAGGTTCTGTCCTTGAATGGTTCAGGGCTTAGCTCTCACACTGCCTCCAATTTATCTCCACCAACGGTTTCTTTTCCAGCCCCACGCAGTTTTGTGTGGTGTTCCTCAGGGCTCTGTCCTCAGTCCCCTCTTCTTCTACCTCTACATGCTCCCCCTTGGTGACATGATCCACAGACATGGAGTCAATTTCCACATGTATGTGGATGACACCCAACTCTATATCTCTGCCTGCACCCTTGATTCCAGGACAGACTCCGTGTCTGACATCAGGTCCTGGATGAGAGCCAACTTTCTACAGTTGAATGTCAGCTGAGGCCCTCCTGATTGGCTCACGTCAGCGCCTCAGCACCTCAGGCTCTGGCAGCATCAGCTCCATGGTTGCACACTCCACCTCACCAGCCAGTTAGCAACCTGGGCATCGTGTTTGACCCTCAACTGTCCTTTCTCCCCCATATCCAAGCCATGACCCGCTCTGCTTTCCCCCACCTCCAAAACATTGCACAACTCTGCCACTGCCTCACCCCTCAGGCCACTGAAACCCTCATACACACATTCGTCAGCTCAAGGCTCGAGTACGGAAACTCCCTCCTTGTCAGCCTCCCCAACTCTTGGGGATCATCCAGAACTCTGCAGCTCGTGTCCTCTCCCGCACCAGGCTCAGTGACACCATCACCCCCACCCTCTCCTGACTCCACTGGCTCCCCATTCCCCCAGAGGATCGAATTCAAAATCCTCGTTCTCATTTTCAAGGCCCCCCACGGCTCCTACATCTCTGACCTGCTGATCCCCATCAACCTGTCCACTACCTCCGTTCAGCAGACTTCTGCCTGCTCCAGGTCTCCCACCCGACCTCCCCTACCATCAGTGGCCGGGCTTTCAGCCTCTCTGCCCCCACCCTTTGGAACTCCATCCCCTTCCCCTCGCTCCCTCCCTTGCCTTCTTCAAGGCACAACTCAAGACCCTCCTTTTTGACCATGCCTTCAGCCGCCCTCCTACCTCTCTGCCCTCCCTCATATCAACCCTGTCCCCCCACATTCGGGTCCAGTTCTGACTGTTCAAGGCCTTGGGACTTCTTCCCGACATGAAAGGAACTTTACAAATGTCATTTTATTGTTGTTGCTGTAATACTGTCTGGAATTAGGTAAACAGGATGTGTCCCTCCAGGGAAGAGAGAAAGAGAAAGAGAAAGAGAGAGAGCATTCCATTCCAACAATCTCTCTGGGATTTCCATGTATAGGTGGGATGTGGGGAATTCTCAGCTCGGCTTTGGAGACTCTTAAGCAGATGATGGGTTTCCACACGTGTTAGACACCCGGCAGGGCAAAAATGTGCCAAGCTGACAGATCTTTACAGTAAAGAACTGAAACCATTGGATTAACCGTCTGATACGAAATATTAACAATACCTTGATTAATTTCAAATATGTCTTGTTTGACCCCACCATCGATGTCCATTTCTGAAAATTCCAATGGAAGAAGGAGATTTTGTTCAGCGATTTTTCAATAAAATACCAAAGTTTAACACATCCTCTCTCGACTTAGAAACTTACAGAGTATTACAGTGTTGAGTAGATGCAAACACACATCCCGAGGCTTACACTCAACAACATGCCTTCACTTAATGGCTTTTTGTTCTATTAAATACAAGTATTATTATTATTATTTTATGCAATCACATAACATAGTGATTACCCCCATATACAGCCGAAGTCCTCGTGCATGTGTTTGTCACCTCCCCCTGGATTACTGCAACCCCCTCCTCGCCGGTCTCCTCAGCTCCACTATTCACAAGATCAGCTCATTCAGACTCTGCCGCCCACACACTGACCTGAACCAAACTCCATCCCCACATCTCACCCGCTCTGGCCCAGGCTCCACTGGCTCCCCATCACCCAACACATCCACTTCAAGATGCTCTCACTCTCGTGTTCAAATCCCTTCACTCCCTGGCACCTCCCCACCTCTCCGACCCCTCACTCCCCACCTCTCCGACCCCCTCGCTCCCCACCTCTCCGACCCCCTCACTCCCCACCTCTCCGACCCCCTCAGTGCCCACCTCTCCGATCCCCTCACTCCCCACCTCTCCGATCTCCTCACTCCCCACCTCTCCGATCTCCTCACTCCCCAATCCACCACCCAGCGCCTCCGCTCGACTGGCACCGGCTCCTGCTCATCACTCCGCCTCACCATCGGAGGTCGCGCTTTCAGCTACTACACGTGTTAGACACCCGGCAGGGCAAAAATGTGCCAAGCTGACAGATCTTTACAGTAAAGAACTGAAACCATTGGATTAACCGTCTGATACGAAATATTAACAATACCTTGATTAATTTCAAATATGTCTTGTTTGACCCCACCATCGATGTCCATTTCTGAAAATTCCAATGGAAAAAGGAGATTTTGTTCAGCGATTTTTCAATAAAATACCAAAGTTTAACACATCCTCTCTCGACTTAGTATCTTACAGAGTATTACAGTGTTGAGTAGATGCAAACACACATCCCGAGGCTTACACTCAACAACATGCCTTCACTTAATGGCTTTTTGTTCTATTAAATACAAGTATTATTATTATTATTTTATGCAATCACATAACATAGTGATTAGCACAACTGCCTCGCAAGTTTGGTTCCTGGGCAGGGCCAAACTTTGGGCAAGTTTCCTTACTCCACACACTTCTGCTTACCTATCCTTGCATTTGATATAGATGCCTTATCCATTCAGTGAGACATCTTTGCAAAATATATATTATAAAGTGTATTTTGTGGGTGAATTGCGCACACCAGTGTCCCGTAAAGAATCATGGATTGAGTAACCAACTATAAATATATTTTATTCACTCCTGCAGATCTGAACTCCTCAACCTCCCTGGGTTCTCCCTCACACTCACCAAACCAGTGCGCAATCTAAGCATCCGGTTCGACCCCCAGCTGTCCTTCCTCCTCCACATCCGGTCCCTGACCAGGAGGCCTTCCTCCACCTCCACCACATTGCCCACCTCCGACCGTACCTTACCCCCATATGCAGCCGAAACCCTTGTGCATGTGTTTGTCACCTCCCCCTGGATTACTGCAACCCCCTCCTCGCCGGTCTCCTCAGCTCCACTGTTTGATTTCAAGATCCTCATCCTCACCTACAAGGCCATTCACGGCCTTGCTCCCTCCTACCTCTCCAACCTACTATCCCCCTACCTACCTGCCCGTACCCTCCGTTCCTCTGGCTCCGGTCTGCTCCACGTCCCCCGCCCAACCACCCTACTATCGGTGGTCGGGCCTTCAGCCTCTCAGCCCCCAGGCTCTGGAATTCCATCCCCCAGTGCCTTCGCCTTACTTCCTCCCTTTCCTCCTTCAAGGCCGGTCTCAAAACCTTTCTCTTTGACCGTGCCTTCAGCTCCCCTCTCGACTCTCTTCCTCCTCCTCGCTCCCTCCCTTCCCTCCCCTCACCCTGACCATTTCCCCCCTCCTCTCTCCCTCCCTTCCCTCCCCTCACCCTGACCATTTCCCCCTGCTCGGGTCATGACCCAATTGTGCAGCGCCTTGGGACGTCCTCCTGACGTGAAAGGCGCTCTATAAATGGAATCTTGTTGTTGTTGTTGTTGTTGTTCACAAGATCATCTCATTCAGACTCTGCCGCCCACACACTGACCTGAACCAAACTCCATCCCCACATCTCACCCGCTCTGGCCCAGGCTCCACTGGCTCCCCATCACCCAACACATCGACTTCAAGATGCTCTCACTCTCGTGTTCAAATCCCTTCACTCCCTGGCACCTCCCCACCTCTCCGACCCCTCACTCTCCACCTCTCCGACCCCCTCACTCCCCATCTCTCCGACCGTCTCACTGCCCACCTCTCCGACCCCCTCACTCCCCATCTCTCCGACCGTCTCACTGCGCACCTCTCCGACCCCTCGCTCCCCACCTCTCCGACCCCCTCACTCCCCACCTCTCCGACCCCCTCAGTGCCCACCTCTCCGATCCCCTCACTCCCCACCTCTCCGATCTCCTCACTCCCCACCTCTCCCATCTCCTCACTCCCAATCCACCACCCAGCGCCTCCGCTCGACTGGCACCGGCTCCTGCTCATCACTCCGCCTCACCATCGGAGGTCGCGCTTTCAGCTACTACACGTGTTAGACACCCGGCAGGGCAAAAATGTGCCAAGCTGACAGATCTTTACAGTAAAGAACTGAAACCATTGGATTAACCGTCTGATACGAAATATTAACAATACCTTGATTAATTTCAAATATGTCTTGTTTGACCCCACCATCGATGTCCATTTCTGAAATTCCAATGGAAAAAGGAGATTTTGTTCAGCGATTTTTCAATAAAATACCAAAGTTTAACACATCCTCTCTCGACTTAGTATCTTACAGAGTATTACAGTGTTGAGTAGATGCAAACACACATCCCGAGGCTTACACTCAACAACATGCCTTCACTTAATGGCTTTTTGTTCTATTAAATACAAGTATTATTATTATTATTTTATGCAATCACATAACATAGTGATTAGCACAACTGCCTCGCAAGTTTGGTTCCTGGGCAGGGCCAAACTTTGGGCAAGTTTCCTTACTCCACACACTTCTGCTTACCTATCCTTGCATTTGATATAGATGCCTTATCCATTCAGTGAGACATCTTTGCAAAATATATATTATAAAGTGTATTTTGTGGGTGAATTGCGCACACCAGTGTCCCGTAAAGAATCATGGATTGAGTAACCAACTATAAATATATTTTATTCACTCCTGCAGATCTGAACTCCTCAACCTCCTGGGTTCTCCCTCACACTCACCAAACCAGTGCGCAATCTAAGCATCCGGTTCGACCCCCAGCTGTCCTTCCTCCTCCACATCCAGTCCCTGACCAGGAGGCCTTCCTCCACCTCCGCCACATTGCCCACCTCCGACCGTACCTTACCCCCATATACAGCCGAAGTCCTCGTGCATGTGTTTGTCACCTCCCCCTGGATTACTGCAACCCCCTCCTCGCCGGTCTCCTCAGCTCCACTATTCACAAGATCAGCTCATTCAGACTCTGCCGCCCACACACTGACCTGAACCAAACTCCATCCCCACATCTCACCCGCTCTGGCCCAGGCTCCACTGGCTCCCCATCACCCAACACATCCACTTCAAGATGCTCTCACTCTCGTGTTCAAATCCCTTCACTCCCTGGCACCTCCTCTCCGACCCCTCACTCCCCACCTCTCCGACCCTCTCACTCCCCATCTCTCCGACCGTCTCACTGCGCACCTCTCCGACCCCCTCACTCCACACCTCTCCGACCCCCTCACTCCCCACCTCTCCGACCCCCTCACTGCCCACCTCTCCGATCTCCTCACTCCCCACCTCTCCGACCCCTCACTCCCCACCTCTCCGACCCTCTCACTCCCCACCTCTCCGACCCCCTCACTGCCCACCTCTCCGATCCCCTCACTCCCCACCTCTCCGATCTCCTCACTCCCCACCTCTCCGATCTCCTCACTCCCCAATCCACCACCCAGCGCCTCCGCTCGACTGGCACCGGCTCCTGCTCATCACTCCGCCTCACCATCGGAGGTCGCGCTTTCAGCCACTACACCCCAAAACTCTGGAACACTCTCCCTCAATCCCTCCGATTTGCCCCCTCTCTTCCTTCTTTCAAGTCCCGCCTGAAAACTTTCCTCTTCAACCATACTTACGGTCACCTTCCCCTCCCCCAGCTCGGAGTCAGGCTCCGCCAATGTTAAGCGCTCTGAGACTCTATCCTGTGTGGCGGGCGCTATATAAGTGCAAGTTGTACTTTAACACTCGCTCTCACCAATGTATATCCGGTTGATTTTGGCAGCAAGTTGCACAGACAGGAAAAGGCGACAGATTTACAATTAAAAACAATGGATGATTAACCTCAAAGGGAGCAAATGGTTGTGGTGCGTGCTTTTTCATGGTCATGTGAGAAAGTTTTTCTCTTAGCTATGTACAGGACCATGTATATCATCGTATAGGTTACAGATTGGTATCCCAGTCAGTAACGGATACCACTTTGTCCCACTATCCTCTCCTCCCCCCTCACCCACAACCTCCACTCCCAAAATATAACTGATCAAACTTATACCTGAACTGTAATTTATAATCTCTGGTGGAGACATGGAGGACAGACAGTTAGCAACAGCAGTGATCATAACACTGTGTACAGACAATAGCTCCAGGCACATCATCATCCGCCCTTTATACATTACCTATTGATGCCTTTATGAGGAATAATAATTAGTCCCGTGTCTTAGTGATTAGAGCCCTCACCTCGCAAATGAGAGGACCTGGGTTCGATTTCTATGACAGGGTGAAACCTTAGGCAAATTTCCTTACTCCACATGCCTCTGTTTACAGCAGTAATTAGGAACCCGGTTGTTCATCGATCGGGGATTGCTTTTCCGGGAGTAATAATGTCTTCAAAAAACTAATAATAATAATTTGGTCACTCAATCCACGACTGTTTGTGTGACGCTTTGTAGGATCCCAGTTGTTAGTCAATTGGCGGATCACGTTTCCGGGGGTAATAAATCCTTAAAAAAAGTATTACTTTAATCCACGACTGTGTGTGGGACGCTGCTGTACGCAATTGGCTGCCACGTTTCACCCACAAAATATAAAGTCAACTCACTTTACAGTATATCCTGTGAAGCGCTTTGAGACGTCTCGAAGATGTGATAAGGTGCTGTATCAAATGCGAGGATTATTATTGTGTTGATGGATTTCAGTACGCTCAGTAGACTGATGTACGAGCAATGCTACAGAATTAATAGTCACAGAGAAAAGAATTCAAACCTGAAAACGAGACTCACCATTTTGTCTTACGAGTGACTGGAAGAAAAAAGAAAAACAGGAAATTGAATCTTAAGAGACAAACTTACATTCTCTTTGGTAGCAATGTCTTATCTCTACTGTGCGCAATTAGCTGCCCCATTTATTTTTAATAATTATTAATTTTAACCCCGGAAAGGCCATCCACCAATCGACTAACAACCGGGTTCCTACTTATTGCTGGTAACCAGAGGCATATGTGTGGAGTATGGAAACTTGCCTAAGGTTTCACCCTGTTCAGGAATCAAACCCAGGTCCACTCGCTTGCGAGACAACGAGAACAACAAAGTACACTCGTATAGCGCCCTTCACATCGGAAAGACGCCTTTTACCCTGGTTAGATGGCAAGTGCTCTAACCACTACACTGCACGACTCCAGCAAATTAGCTTGAATCAAGGCCACTACAGAGTGGGACAGCTGAGAAGGTACTTTAGCCAGGGAGGGATTAGTTCAGGAACACAAACTCAGAGCTGTTATATACAAAAAACATTCCCAGCAGTGTCAGGAGTGAACTGTACTGAAC